GTTTGCATGCATGCGGTGGGGCCCCTCAGTCATGTTTTGCTCTTTAACCTGCCATTTTAGGCAACCCACTTCCTAAACAACACCCCATTCACTAGGGTTCGGCAAAACTAAATTGTAAAAAACTAAAAAAAAAACAAAAAAACAAAAAAACAAAGAAAATATTTTCACAAACGTCATTTTTAAGGGGTAATCGTTACCTGAATCTTGCTCATTGCTACTTTCGGATCACATTTATTTGATTGATTTGTTTGCTTTTACAAGAGGTGTCTTGGTACCTACAGTCATTTTCATTTGTCGCGTTTTCATTTGTTCAACAGTATCATATCTGTAACACCTTTGGCTTTGCCTAAGCAATGATTGTTACTGTCTGTATACACTGATAACCGAAGAATTTGTTTTGGGTTTAGCGCCAATGAAAAAAGTCTTTGTAGTTGCCTTCGCACTACCTTAGCAGATTTTTTCAAGTGTCATTTTGGTTTCATTTTTGCTTTGCCTGCGAAAGTAAAGTCATTGCCTCCATACACTAATGGAATTAAATGATTTGGCTATTAAAACAGAATTTAAGATGCATCGTTGCCTAAGTGGATCTTAAAGTGTCATGCCTTTTTATTTTCTGCCCTCTTATTACACATGCTTGTTGGATAAATTGTTTTTGTTTTTCTTTATGTGCTATTGACAACAATTGTCATGGTAATCACATTAAGGTAATGTGTCCAAGCAAGCAACTCTGCGGGGGTTTTTCGGAAGCATGTGATTTTTCATGTCATCGCCCAGCTATTATGGTCGTTCTGTTTATCTACCCTGCTGCAAGGTTAGCTTCTCATGTGAGCAGTTTTGTGTTGCAGGCATACTGACCAATCGCAAGCCTTTATTTTGATGTTACGTGACAAGTCTGGTATAGGCAGTCCTTTTATATGGACACATTAAAAATTTGCTATTCGCTAGCAATATATTGTACAAATCGCACTGGCTTATTGCCGTGTTATTTTTTTTTCTTGTGGCAAAGTGTCAGGTTGGTTGCATTTTGCTTTGCCTAAGCAAGGGTGGTGGCTCACTTACACACTAATTTAATAGGGTGTTTTATGTCATTGTAATCCCAGTTGCCAATTACTTATCTAGAAACTGGCCAAATTGCATGGTTTAAATAATACAAAACAAAACAAAAACGCCCCGCTAGGTGTAGCTGTGAAGGTTATTTAGGAGACATTTGTCGTTCCCACTTGAAACTCAATACCATAAAAGTGCTGTTCTTCTATTTATAGCGTTAAACATTTATCAAATAGTAGGAAAACGGTCATTCATCAGTGACAGGCATGTCAGCATTGCCTTCAATCCATTTTTGTTGGATGGTAGAGGTTTTGTGGGATCTGTGTTTAATGTTAAATCGGGTATCGTCAATTACTGTCACATGGAGATAATTATTCAAGCTGTGTAAAGAAATGAAAAAAAAAAAAAAAAATTTCCAATCCCGGCCTTTTGTAAAGAAGGACAATGTGTTTTTCTTTACCAAGATTGTTGGTAAGGTGGCAAGGCATGGTATTCCTTATTATTCCAAACATGTCAAAATTATGCCAAATTTAGAAAATAAATCAAAAAAAAAAAATCCTGCTTTATATGCTATGCGCTTTCAAAATATGCCACAGATACCAAATATGGTATATACTAGGGCCAAATTGGCAACCTTCAGGAACTATATTTGTAATTCCATTCTTTCATTTATATTGGGTAGCTGATTTGCATTGTCTAAGCAGGTTGTGTAAATCGTTACACCAGTCTAAAAGAGTAGTTATTTGTTGTTGGCGGAGCATTGGAATAATTGAGACATTTACCTGGTCTGGTACCGGAAATCAAGACTTTCTGCATGTAAAAACGAAAGCGCTCCATTTTGGAATTCGCTTGCAGGATCATTTTCACGCGGTCGCGCCATGAGTGGTGCTGTTTCACAGGTCTCGCTCCAATATCGACCCGCGCATTTACGCATGATTGGATTTTGTTTCGCAAATTCATGCGTCGAAAATACGCTTATTGCACAATCACGCCAAAATACCTGGACCCTCCCCCCCTTTTTCAGCAGGGAGGATATTTTTCCTTTTCATTGCAAACCTGTTTTTGGACCAGGTATTCCTGGCTTCAGCGGGGTGAATGTTTTACTATTATTTGGGTTGTGGACCAGGTCAGGCCTGGCTTCAGCGGGGGAATGTTTACTATTAATGGCAAACCTGTTTTTGGACCAAAATTACAATCTTTTTGTCATTGACAGGGAATATATTTGCAATTGCTCTCTTTCGTTTGTACTGGGTAGCTGATTGGCATTGTCTTTCATTTTTCACTGCCCAGCTGATTTTCATTATCTAAGCAAGTTTTTACAAATCGTTCGGACTTAAGATTAGTTTTTTACAATGAGGCAACATCCCAGTTTTATAGAAAAAGCGTTGAATAAGGTTGTTCCTGGCTGCAGCCGGGAGGATATTTTTTTTTCCTATTCAGGGCAAATCTGTTTGGACCAGGTATTCCTGGCTTCAGCAGGGAGAATGTTTTGCTATAAAATTGCGAACCTGTTTGGACCAGGTTAAACCTTGGTTCAACAGGGAGAATGTTTTTTCTTTAAATTGCGAACCTGTTTGGACCAGGTGAGTCTTGGCTTCAGCAGAGAGAATGTTTTCACTATAAATTGCAAACCTGTTTTTGACCAGGTTAGTCCTGGCTTCAACAGGGAGAATGTTTTCACTATAATTGCTAACTTGTTTTGGACCACGTAGTTCTGGCTTCAGAAGAGAGAATGTTTTTACTATCAATTGGGAAAACGTGTTTTTGACCAGGGACACTTGGCTACAGCGAGGAAAATGTTTCACTTTCAATTGAAAAACGTGTTTTTGACTAGGGACACCTGACTACAGTGGGGAAAATCATTTATATTTGCCATAATGCTGGCATGTTAGTGATTACAAACCTTGAATCAGGTTAGTCCTGGTTCTATTTTTGGATGAGGGACTGTTTGTATTTACCACAACGTGATCATGTTAATGAATTCAACTCAATAAAAGCTAGGTTAGTCCTGGTTCGTAATCAGGGATGAATGTTTTATTTTTTCCACAAAGTTGGCATTTTATTTATCACAAACCCACTTGGGCGTGGCAGAAGTGTTTTTTCACTACAATGCTGGCTTGTTATATGCTCATGTACCTGCTTGACCCAGGGTGGTCCTGGCTCTCAACGGGGTAAGTGTTTATATTTGCCTAAAATTTGGCATATTTATTTATCACAAACCCACTTGGGCCAGATTATTCCTGGCTTTCCGTGGTGTGAGTGATGGTTATTCGCCACAATGCTGGCTTGCTATGTGCTCATGTACCTGCTTGATCCAGGGTGGTCCTGGCTCTCACCGGGGTGAGTGTTTTTATTTGCCTAAAATTTGGCACATTTTTTTATCACAAACCTACTTGGGCCAGGTTATTCCTGGCTTTTCGTGGTGTGAGTGATGGTTATTCGCCACAATGCTGGCTTGCTATGTGCTCATGTACCTGCTTGATCCAGGGTGGTCCTGGCTCTCACCGGGGTGAGTGTTTTTATTTGCCTAAAATTTGGCACATTTATTTTTCACAAACCTACTAGGGCCAGGTTATTCCTGGCTTTTCGTGGTGTGAGTGATGGTTATTCGCCACAAGGTTGGCTGGTTGTTGCTCATGTACCTGCTTGATCCAGGGTGGTCCTGGCTCTCAACGGGGTGAGTGTTTTTATTTGCCTGAAATTTGGCATGATTGTTTATCACGAACCTGCTTGAACCAGATTATCTCTGGCTTCACAGGAAGAGTGTTTTTCTGCCCTCACTATCCTTTACCCGCTTACCTTTTTCCGGCATCACCCGCCTCTCCATGTAATCCCCCTCACCCTCCTCTCCCTCTAGTAGTATATCCACTAGGTAAATAGCACCATCTGGGGCAGGGTCTACACCAGCAGTGATATATGGGGGGACGGAGATCCCAATATCTCCGACGACTTATCTACTTCAATGGCAAATTTCATATTACGCATGCGTCTCATTTGTCATTTCCCATTTGCTAGGTATAGGTCTAGTAGCCCAACCCAATTTTCTATATTTTAGATGCAGATAGATTTCCCTCAGGCATTCGGATTATTCGGCAAATAGCCTTACATTCGGATTATTCGGCAAATAGGTGACGCGCCCTCCCATGCTCTGATCTGGGGTTAAAAGATTTGGCTCCCTTCCCTTTTCCCTCCTTAGTGCAGAAAGGGTTTATTAGGAGTCGGTGTCTGGAGGCAACACTTGGTGTTTTGTGGGCGGGAAACAGTTTTCCCATTGTTGCCACCGACCTTAAAGAGAAGTATTCTCCAGGCAGTCAAGGGCTGGTGCACTCGCAGGCCCACTTCCTGGATAGGATTTTTATAAGGGGATTAAATGTTGTTTAGACTTGTTTAAACAGAGTTAATCCACTAGAAAAAAATACCACACGTGACTTGATTACCTATTGTCCTGTTAACAATAGTTCTTCCGTTCCCTTAATTTCTCCATGTGGTGATGGTACGCCCGCATAGCACGATAGCTAGTGCACTCTCATTCTGCAAGCAGAACGAGACAGATAGATACGCTTTACAAGCTTCCCCACCCACCCACTCCTCTCTTTTTTCTTTCTATCTTGACTAATTTTTTTTCCTTTCCAATTTCTGCTTTCCAGCTTTCCCCCGGAGACAGTCGTCTTGCGGGCAGGTGCATCAGCCGGGAAACAGTTTCCCATTGTTGCCACCGACCTTAAAGAGAAGTATTCTCCAGGCAGTCAAGGGCTGGTGCACTCGCAGGCCCACTTCCTGGATAGGATTTTTATAAGGGGATTAACTGTAATTTTCTAGCCTGCGTCACAGACCATCACCACCAAGGAGGAGAGTGGTCTGTGCAACGGAGGCCAATTTCGTGTTCTGCGATTTTCCCAAGATCTTGGGAAAATTAGCATATTGTATAAATTAATTCGCATAATTATAATACAGCGTGTTATTTTGCTAATGGCGGCCTTGTCTGCTGCCATCGGCAGTTGTCTATCGTCGTCCAGCAACATTAATTTCGAGTGGATTTGTGCTCTTTGCTTCAAAGAGTTGCAAGAGCAAGGTGACAGAAATCTTATTGAAGGAAAAAGTTCATTTAATGTTGTTGATGAACTGAATGATTTGCCGTTTAAAGTGGTCTTAAATTATAAGTACATTTGCAAGCGTTGTTTAAATGCTCTGAAGAAACGAAAAGGTTACAAGACAAAGCTTGCTGAGACAGATAAACAGTTGTTTATTGATTATACGAACAAATGCAACAGCGAATTGAAGGTACATCGGTCTACCGGTGAAGATGACGACGGACAGCCACCGTTCAAGAAAAGTAGCAGAAACCAGATGGGTGGAAACAAAGAGTTGGCACATCAAAAAGTTCTGAAGTCCATCGGTGTCCAGACAACTAAATGTTTTCAACGGGATTCGCCTCTTGAAAGGCCAGTTGATGAGGGCACAAGAGTTTTTGTAAGAGCAGAATGGCAATCAGTCACCAAAGAAAAACAACTACCAGTACCATTGGAATCACTTGGTAAAATGCTTGTTAGAGGGTCGTATAAACAAATTGCAGCTGCTGCTTGGAAGAGTGAATCCTTAAAGCCATACATAATCAGCCTGGTTTTGAAATGTATACACAATGAATGTGCCAGACTAACTGCCAGAAAAAACCCCAGTATGATGCGAAAACTGAAAGGTGAAGACATAGTGAAATTCAAATTTGAAGACCTTAATGAAGACATTTTTGCTAGAGCACCGTTATTCCATGGTATCTTGAAAACTGCATCCATGAGCAAACTTGAAAATGCAAGTTACAAGACAACGAATTACTCCATACCAGCTGTATGCATGGCGGCTTCCATTTGCATGAAAGCACGCTCACCTCACGCAACTTTGATGCAGTTGCTTGTGTCATTGATACTACAACATTGCAGCTTAACGGTAAGAATTTGTTGTTTTTTATTAAGTAGTAATAATATTGAAATCAGGCTAAAATCAAAGGGCAGGTCCATGTTAGTTTGTTAGGTCATGTTGGTTAAGGTACGTGGACCAGACTCCAACAGATTGCTGCAACCATCCCATTCAGACCACCATTAAATGTGGGTAATTTTTACTTTCTCAAAAATGGAACTTAAAGTTCCAACAGAAATGAAAAAACATGAGCAGATTTGTAAGTTTTCCTTTTTGATGAAGAGTTCCATAGATATTGGTTCTATACAGTGCAGAAATGCTCTTTATGGTACTATCTGTTTGAAAGTATGAAAAAAGCCTTTTTACTGATCGAAAATAAAACAGCTGCGACATCCCAAATGACCCTGAGTATATCTCTTTAAGCTGCATTCAAGTATGACATTTTGCTCAACAATGACTTCATTTTTTATTGCAGTCTGCAATGGCACGTTTAAGGGCAGTTAAGCTCACAGTGTCACATCCTTGCATTACTAAAAAGTTGGATGAGTTTGGAAAGATGCAAGAAGAATCATTTTCTGCTTTGACACAAGGAGGAAAGGAGGATGCTGTATTCAAAATGCAAACTCTACCATCGAGTACAATGATCAATCAAAAAATTGTGTTTGATAATATTGATTATCAACAGCATGTCCATTATATGAGTGAGAGTCATCAAAATCCTTTCTATCATTGGGTTTCATATATGTCCACTGAAAATCGAATTAGTGCTAGTCATTTGGTACAGAATGAGCCACAAAAGTGTCTTGATGATATGCCTAATTCCATGTTTCTTCCAAACAAAATAGATCATTCAAAACAACGTCAAGATTATATATTTCTGACAGCAAGATTGTGCACAGAATATATTGAATGCCTGAAGCCGCTTGGTGGTGTTGTCAGAAAACACATGCCTCACAAGCATTCTAAAGAAACATTCAATGCCACAAAAACAGTGAGTAGTGCAAGTAAATATTGTAAATACCAAGACTGAGTAGTTCTCAAACATCAATCAATTGCTATGTTAGAGAACTGTCAGAAAGTATCTATTAGGGATGTGTGTTGTTTTTGCAGGGGAATATTGTAATGCAGGCTTTTTGGCCATCTTTGAAGTTTTGTCTAATTTTGATGATTCTTTCAAAACTCATAATATTTTTAGGCTCAATAATGTTCTGATTGAAAAATGTAATAATTCATTATTTCACATAAGCAAAAAACCTCTGTTTTTTGCAATGCAAGCACTTTTAATTGATGAAGTTTTGAGAACAGGGTTATAACTTTATTCCCTCTTCTCTCACAAATTTTGAAATAGGAAGAAAGATATTTTGGAAATACATCATTACCCTCACTGTATTTAGTCATTGCTACATTTTCATCACCACAGCAGTAACACTGCTGAATGTATGCTGAAGAAATGAAATCAATTGTATATAGATTTCTAGAAAAAGTGATTTTTGTATTGTTTAGAATTATTTGTTTTTTATTTAGGTCTTTCATGGTTGCATCTATGAAAATGAAAATGACGCAGATGGAATCAAAAGAGTAATAGAAAAACTACATAAATTTACACCATGTTCTGGAAAAGGTGAGGAAAAAGTATATTCAGAACAAGGCTTTGTTGGCGACCAGTTATCAGTAGAGCGTGGGGTTAACTGTTTATTGCAAGCATCAAATGGTTTTACTCAGGAAGAGCAGTTCACTGGTATGCACTTTGAAGTTGGTGACTTTCATGCAACGATGAAATTTTTGCAGGTATGCATAAAATGTAAATAATAAGAATATAAGAAGAATAGAATAACAAACTTTATCTTGGTGTATGGCCTGGTTGCTTTCAACCCTCACTTCTTTATTTATGAAATTTTAGAGATTATCTGATAAAAATTGAATACTTTGACAAAGTACAGTTTGTATGGTACAGTACAAAGTTTGTATGGTATCTTTCTATTATTATTCCTTCATCATTTATTTATTTCCTGATTATGTGATGTGGCTTTATATTATGATCATTACACTTTAGCTGATTTTGCCAAAAACTTTTCCCTCCTCCTATGACTTCCTATTAACCTGTCTATAACCTTGACCGTTATGTTATTCAAATCAGTAAAAAATAACATTTGTTATATGCTGCTTCAGAAAATTAGTGAAAGGTATTCTGAAGAATCTATTGTCAAATCTTCAGACAAGAGAGCTAGAGCTATTGCCAGATATCCAAGGGTGCCTTCAGAAATTCTCTCATTTACTTCTATTTCATTGGGATATTTAACTCGTGGTGATTGGCACAGCAGTTCAATTCCAATTTTACATGTTCAATCTCAGATCGTTTTCTATTTGAACTATTGTCTCAATAATTAAATTAAATACAATAAGTACTTTTTGACTATCATCAAGTTTATGTACCCTTTTTGCATTGTGCTCTTGACTTTCTCTTTTAAGGTTGGCTTTGATTATTTTTATAATGGAGCAGCTGCTTCAGATCAATGCACAATGTTTGCTGACAGTATATATATAAATCGCAGAAATATTGGCAGCAAAGTAAAGCAACGATATAGTGCTTGCAAAAGATTTTTTCAAATGGAAGTGCAGAGCAGAGTTATTGCAGCAGCAATGGAAATACTTGGAATAAAGTGCATTGATGAGAAACCAGACCAAAATCACTTCCCGGCTAGTTTACTCAATGAAAGTGCAAAATGCAAAAAGGACTATATTGAGAAATTAGCCACTATTGTGGTTGATACATATGTACTGAAACTTGACAAATTTCAAGAGTTATTCCAGAAGTCCTGCTTAGCCCATAGCACTGCTGGTGATGTGGTTGGCATTAGCAATAGAAGATTCCAATGCACTAAAACCTTTGCTAATGGTGGTGATGCCAGAAAAAAACATGAAGCTTCTCATGTTGAAGGCATACCTGATGATGATTGCTACAACTACCAATTGGCATTGATGGATTATGGTATGGTAGTTGAAAATTTTATTGATGCCATTTCAGAAGGAGATGGTGAACGAATTCTCCGTTGTTGGAAATTTGTGCTGCTTTACCTAAAAGCTGATGGTAAGCGAAGTTGTAAATACAGCCTTGAAGCTTTCTACCTAATATGCCAAGCATATTGTCTTCTTTCTCCTTGTGCAGCCTACAATCTTATTTGGAATCGCTTTGCAAAAAACCAAAATGGCTATGGTGGAAATATTCCCCTTGACCTTGCCCTTGAGCAGTACAACAGGATATTGAAAAATGTTCTTCGCATGTTAGGCCCAAATGCATCAAACTCAACTGCTGTTGATCGCTATTGCAAAGCATTGTCAACTACGAAGAAATTCATAGAACAATGGGATTCATCTTCTTCATTCATTTGCCATTCTGGAAAACACAGATCCAAACATGCATCTGAAGATACAAAGAAGATTATAAAGCATCTTATGGAACACAGAGCCTTGAAGTTTACCTCAGGTCGCAAATACAAACATTACAACAAAATAAAGCAAAGCATAATTACAGATTTGGACATGTCGGCTTTGTTTCAGTGGATAAATGAGCACAGAAGACTTGTGAAGGTTAATAAAGCTGCACGTTAGAATAGTTAATAAAGCTGATAAGATTTATCCAAAATAACAATTTATTCTAAAAACTGTCCTAACGTATCATCAGAGTAAGTACCTAATTAAAAAACACAGTGTGGTGACATATTAACGTTTGGATATAAATACCTAACTTGTTACTAGGATTGGTGAGTTGGTTTATGGCCAGGCCTTTTTGGTTGACAGAGGGATGACTCACAATTGTGGCAGAACATGCAAAAACCCAACCATATGAGCTCTTGATTGCCAGCTCAAAACAGTAAATTCTTAAGAGTGAGTCTTTTGAACAAATATCTTAAGTTATCATTTTGTCAATTAGGCTGCATATATTCCATCAATAAATACCTTTCCAGTTATCTTTTGTGGTATTTGTATTGTTTTGATACACTATTGTATTGGGCTATTATATTGATACTGAAATGCATTTGTAATTGTATTGATAAAGATCTGATGTAAGTAGTTCATAGTTCCTTGTGGGAAAGATATTTTAATGGACCTATTATTTTTAATTGGTAATGTAGCCTATCTCTGAAACCCTAACCTTTATTATAAAAGCATCACACTTAAAACAGTTGTGTAATATATTGTATTCTTTGAAGAAAAAAATTAATCAAATTTTGAGCATATTTGTTCAGCAGCTTCAGTAAATATATCACTTCCTCCTGAAATGTTTTGTGACCTTTCATTTTGGTAGGTTTCCTCCATACTGTCGAAGATTGATGAACTGTTTGTACAGTCTTTGATTTCCCAAAAAGAATTTTCATTATCAACATCAACAATTTCCTCTGTTATGTCTTCCAGCTCAGTTAAAATTAGTGCATTCTTGTCTAAATCAAAATCAGAAAACACATCATGAATAGCCAGAAGTATGTTATTTGCATGGATGTCATTCCAGATCTCTACATACTTTTTAATGTCCCAAGTAGAGAATATCTTGTCACAGTGCTTCAAAACCTGAGAAACTTGTAAATTTGTGAACTCAAGGTGGATATTTGGGTAAGTTACTGGTTTGACATCAGCAAGACCATTTACAAGATGGCACTGCTTATAGGACTCTAACTGTTGTTTTAGTGCTGAAGTTTGGAATGGAGTTACATTCCTTTTTCTGCCAACAGTTGCATCCTCACTATCTCCTTTGTGTGGCATCAAATTGAATTTCCCCAAGCACTCTGATTGATAACACTCACATTCTTGAGCACAACAATCACAACAATTACATCCATGGAGTACCTCTTTTGATTCCTTTAGATGAGAGAATTCTCTTAGAAGTCTTTTACGCCTACAGTCTCTGGAATAGATATATTCTTTCATGTCATCATTGCTGTGTTTCACTAAGTGACCATTGTATAAAAGGATGCACAGACTGTCCTCACCTCTTCTACCAGCTCTACCACACTCTTGTAAATAAGATTCAATACAAGATGAGCCCCCATAATGAACCACTTGTGTCATATAATGACAATCTATCCCCATTCCAAAAGCTATGGTGCATATTAAAACTCTAATGTGGCCAAACTGTGATGTCACTGTCTTCAATATGTGTTCTTTCACCTGTTCTGGAGTGCCAGCATGATACATCTCTACTAGACGCATTTGTGGAATTCTGATTCCATCCTTGTATAAATAAGATCCCAGAGAATCAACCATTGTTCTATAAATCAGGCTGCACTGTTTTCTTGTTCTACAGAAAATTAGTGTTCCCTTTGCTTGATCTTGCCTTGATTTGATGTCAGTTATTACAACGCTGAAAACATTTTCTATTGGGAGACCACTATCCAAGAACTTAGTGATGAACTTGAGATTTGGCTTCAATGGGCATTTTTCAATTTCAAAAGTTTTCAATGGATCCAACTGCAATGTGGAGAAAATTTTACCTTTTGTGCTTTTTGAAGCAGTTGCAGTAAAAACAGCCAATCTTGGATTATTCAAAAGGGATTTTATTTCAATTAAATTTCCAAACCATTGGCGAAAAGGCACTCCAGTTCCTTCTTTACCACCTCCAGGCAATCCCCTACAAATTAGAAAATTTATCAATAATTAGTCCTAATGAAAATGAATAGCAATAATCAGTTACATGGCATTTTATTCTGTTTCTTTTGAGTCTCAATTGAGTATTCTTTTTGCTACATTATTTATGACATTTAGAACTACTTCAATCATCTAAAGGACATCACAAAAGGCTCTTACAATCAGATTTGATTAGCAAGATACAAGCAACTGCAGCAATTATGCACTTAAACAGTAAACTGCATAAGGGTTGGAGTGGTTTAATGCTACAAAATAAAGGAAGCTCAACTATGGGGTAATTTCCTAAAGCCTATTCCTCATGCTATATTTATCTTCTTCTAATTTAAAAAGTACAAAACCAATCTTGTTTCTTTTTTGCAATTACTGTCATGTTTTAAACCTTTTGTAAACGGTTCAATCTAGATAAGTCCGTACTTTTCTGGGACATGCATATTACAGTATCATTTTAGTATTCTTCTTCTGTTATATATGAATAGAATTGAATTGAAAATCCTCTTAGCACGTTGGACTACATGTCAACAAAACATGGGGTAAATATCAATGTCTGAGAGATATGTCAGTGCATCAACACTGCAGCTGCAATGGATTAAGGACCTTAGGTCGCATTTAGTTAAAGATAATCACATCTATTTGTGTAATGTATGTATTTATTCTTTTGAACCAGTAGTGCTATCTTCAAATTATTATCACAATCTTTAATCAGTTCTAACTTATACAGATGTTGATGAAAAAACTCAGCTTCTAACCAACATGCCTATCCAACAACCAAGTCATAAGCTAAATAAATGGCAATATACAGGTAGACAAATATTCAAAAAGCTTACCAGTGAACTATACAGTGAGCTTCATCAACAACTACAACTTCACAATGTCTACGAAAACATTCTGACTTCAATACTGATCTCCAAAATTCGTGGTCTAAAAGATCTTCCGGAGATATATAAACAAGTGAAACTTGGCCATCAACTATCCTGTCCAGAACGCTCTGGCTTTGCCCGTTGTAAATTGCAGCCGCGCTAACTGCACTTTGCTGTAGCTTGTTCACTTGATCAAGCATCAGAGACTTCAAAGGAGAAATAACTAGCACTGTACTTGTGCCCAAAGCTTGATCACGTAGCAAATCTATCAATGGCGGTATACACTGAAAAATCAATGATTTTCCAGACCCAGTAGCCGAACTGTAATAAAGATCTTTCCCTCTGAAAAAGGAACGTAGGGCGTTCTTTTGATCTTCATATAATTCCATAACATTGAAAAATGAGGCAACCATCGAAAATTGTTCTTCTAACTCGCCTAACTGATCTTCGGAAAACCATGGATTTGCTGGACTACTTGTTTTGGCCTCCATGTTGAATAGATAGCAGGAGAACCGCCGCAGTAACGATCACGCTGAATTATAATTATGCGAATTAATTTATGCAATATGCTAATTTTCCCAAGATCTTGGGAAAATCGCAGAACACGAAATTGGCCTCCGTTGCACAGACCACTCTCCTCCTTGGTGGTGATGGTCTGTGACGCAGGCTATAA